TTTTAAATGCTGTAGAGGTGATGGTGAAACACTGGAAAACAAAGCTGGAGGCTAAGGGAGGATGCCCGAAGTAGCAGAAATACAGGCTTTAAATGAGCTACAAGAAAAGAAAAGATGTAGTTCCTAAAATAGCCTAAAAAGTCTTTAGTTCAGAAACCAGTAAGGGAAAGATAAGAACAGTGAAAAGATAAAAATTAGAACTTCTATGAAATTGTCAAAGGATGTTATTAAATTCCTCATATTATTCCATGTGACATTATCTCCAAGTAAAAGTTAGTTTCATTTGCTCTTTCCATCAAATATTCTGATGATTCTTGACTGCTTCAGCCCCAAAATATTCTGCATGAATTTTACTCTGATTTTAATTAGTATCTTTCAATGCAACAGGAATCTTTGATGCAGTTGAATGATGATTTCTGTCTAGGTGTTTGCTTCTCCAGTTTCTGTACCAAAGCACTGTGGTAAAAGCAAGCTCCAAATCCAAAGTCCAAAATACCATCCATCCTCAGAGGGACATAAGGCAGTTAGTTCTCTCCTGGACAAATTATCTGAAGGCATACTATATAATTCTCTAATTTCCCTGCACAGAATGTCATTAACCTTTTTCTTCATCCTGGACTGTAATGGTGCAAATTCAAATAGTAACTTTAAGTGGTATTTCATTAGATTTCTGCAGTTCATAAGGGAACTACATTGTCAATCAGAGGTAGGTGAATAGAGAAAGGAAAGAAACTGTACATGTAATTGGCATCCTAAGGTTACGGTTTATTCATTCAACTACTAGCTAGAACAGATGACAACTAAAAAGATACAATGTATTTTTCACATTTTTCTCTATTTAGTTTATAGTTTAAGAATGATAGATAGGTCCACTGAAATTGCAAATAATGTTTTTTAGGTTTTATACCTACCTCTTTTGTTTCATAAGCTACAACATGCACCTACCAATGAGAATTTTCATCATAAAACCCTATAGAACTGAAATACAATTTTCAGAAACCTTTTGTATTATAACACAGTTATTAAGCAAAGCTAATTGTCTTTTATTGAAACTTGATCTTCTTCACAAGCATGAAGAAGTATTTGAACATTAGTATGCTCTTTGAATACCACTTCTTTGTACACTTAGCAAGAAAGCATTATTCATTATCAGAACTTTATTTAGACACAGGCATACATACGTATATGTATGTAAAACCTCAGTTTGGGAAAGTACATAAACAATTGCCTAAATCTAGAGCTGGACAGTTAATCCACTGTTTCTGATTTTTACCCAAACCAAAGAATAAAAAGAAATTTCAAACTGTCCTAAAGTGGAAATGCTTTGGTTTTCTCAGTAAAAATGAATTCTGGATTCATCAAGCTTTTAAATACTAATACCCCCCCCCTGCTTCTAGAACAAAATTTCTAAGTGAATCTGGATTCATAAAGCTTTTAAATATTAATAAAAAAACCCCCACAGATTCTAGACCAAAATTTCTAAGTGAAATTTACAAATTTTTCATTAAAGTTTTCTTCTGTCCAGGAAATATTTATGAATAATTATAATGTGTAAAAATATGCATTTCATTCTAACAATTAAGACATTAACATCTTAAAAAAACATTTACTAGATCTGATTTTAAGCATATGCCTGTTCAGCTAAATAAAAACTTAAAAATTAGTTCTCTGCATCCTTCTACGCAAGGAATTCTTTATGTTCAGTTCAATAAGTTAAGCCTTTTGCTAAAGTGCTTATCCTTCAAAACAAATCCCAGTAACATAAATTGTTCTAGAATCTCAACTGAGAAATTCATCATATGTTTCTCACTATGTATATAATGACTACTATTTTTCACTAAGTATACAGTGACTGCTATTCATACCACTGGACCTTAAATATGTTCTTAACTATTAGGTTGAATACAAAAACTTTCCTGAATCAGAGAACAAAATACTTTCCTTTTCTCTGTTGACTGATCTTCAGTAGTTCATTAAGATGTTCTTTCTATTAAAAGGTACTGCCTTTTCTGCCTGTCTAGTCTTAAGGAGGCAATGATAAAAGAGAAATACAAAATGCTAAGAATGTTCTTCTATGCCTTCTGAAAATAAGTTTAGAGATGAAGGCATACATCCAAGAGAAAGAACAATGAGTAAGATGCTAACTTCATACATCATTAGCTTTCCAATAACAAAGAAAAATAACACTGGCAAAGATAATTAAAAATTAAAGCTATAAAATAAAGTTTAAAAAAAATGAAGACATTTGCAAGTGATATTATGAAAGAATGTCCAAAAATTAAACACCAACCAACTTCAAATGTTGTCTGTTCTAATGAGGCCTTATGTTCAAAAATGGCATTGTATTCACTCTTCACCTTCATTAGCACAAGACATAACACAAATTTTTGATCCATTCTGGCTTCCTTAAAAATGAAGGTAACTCTGGCTTAACTCGTCCTTAATATTGAGCTTGCTGGCTCAGTGGAATGAAACGCCGAGGCTGATGAAGCCAAGGTGAGTACAGCTCTAGGGATGAAGAACATCAGCTGTTAATACAACTATGCTGTGCAGCTTGATTGCAATCTCACATCACACCCACCAACTTGTTCAGACTAGGCTGGGTTACCCTGGCTGTACCATCCTTCAGGATGACTGCAGTCAATGCAAAAAAAACAACCCTGGGGTGTAGGTACAATTTCATACTAAACCATCTTTGTTTGGCATGTAAGTGAAACTGTTAAAAGCTCTCATCAAACTGACACCACGTCCTTCAGATGGTCCTGAATACAGGCAGTCAGGACGTGATACTTGGACACAGTCTGTGTTTGCAGAGCACATGGTTTCAAGCCAGGAATGTTTCAGTGGCTGAATGGCCAGAATTCGTTCCAATCCTGCCGGGGTATACAGCATCCTCAGTTGGAAATGGACTAAATGTGAGTTACAAGCCAACTTTTATCACAGAAGGTGGGAAAATGCATTCAAATCAAGATTTTAATGAATTTTGGCTCTCAAGGGAGAATCTTTTTTGAAAGTGGCACAATGCAAACTAACCCTATTCCACTGGGTTTTATTTAATTTTATTTATCCATTTTCATGACACCTCATGAGCTGAACCCACAGTTCTGTTTCATCATTGCTGCTTGTCTGACTCCACATATTATATGAGATATGAGCAGAGCTCACAGCAGTAGTCAGGTTATTGCACCAGGTCTCACAAAAATGGAAAGCTGCATCAAGAGGTAACATGTGATTAACTTGATAATTCTGCAACACAAACCAGTAATCTTATTGTTTGATATTTAACAAACTAAAATTTCCAATATTATATGTGGTATGTCACTTGTATGTATGATGAGGTGAGTTTTCAAAGTCTATTCATTTTTACAATCTCCACCCTTTAGATTCCACAAACTCATTAAGATTCTTTAATAATCAAAAATGGGAATAACACAGAGAAAGATGTAAACACATGACAGCTTGTACACTTTACCACATTTAGCATCTAAAGATTCTCTGAAGTATTTTTAATGGATCTTGTGAATTCACTGTAAAATAATAATTCTGACCAGTACCATTCCTTTCCAAGTTCAGGATATTCAGTTACAGGACTGAATAGGACTCTACATTTATTTGACTGTAAACCTACTGGTCAGAATTATCTGAGGAGACATTTTCAAATTTGACAGCTGAGCCCATAAAATTGTTGTTGCACTTGTTACTCTAGAAATAAATGCAGTTCAAGAAAAACAACCAGGATGTATGAAACTCTGAATGTAAGTATTCTATATACAAACTCACTACTAAACTTGATTAAGAGCACTATGTCCTAAGAGAGCAGGAGATAGTTTTCCTTGTTGGTGATTAATTTCCTGAATTACTTTCCTTAGACCTGAATGCTTATATTCATTTTATTATTATTATGCATTTCTTTTATTGGCATGGTTTATTATAGCGTGTATTTAAGGAGCCTATTACTCTTTCATGTACAGTAACACAATCGACATAAAAACACCTTCTCTTCCTCACTGCAGAAATGCTATTATAAAATAAATCATTATACTGAGATATTTAAGTACCATACACAGGAGACTTGAAGCAGTGTTTCCAACAGGGTACTGGCATAGCCAATATTCACTAGGTATGAGATGAAAATGGATTTTCAAGTTTGGGTATTACATTTCAAGTAAAATAAGGGCCCCCTGAAGAAAATTCAGAGAAAAAAAACAAGCACAGTTTGCAACATAGTAAAGCATGAGGCCAAATGTGGTGCCAAGCAAATGTGCTTAATCTCCATTGCAGCAAAGCAGGAAAAGAGCCTGATGAGTTCAAAAGATCATGTCACTGGCTTTGAGTCCTTTACAGAGCAGGACATGCACTGAGGTTCACAGTGCAGCACTGTCTTTTTTTGAAGGAAAGGCTATATGAAATTGGTAGATTTATTCTATGGAAGAGAGGAAACACACAGAAGCTTTCCACATAGAGACAACTAATTTTCAAATATGTAAAAGAATGCCTCAGAAAATAAAAGAACAAACTAATCCCCACATTTGTGTCCACCAGAGAAGAGACTTTAATTTCATCAGATAAGAACCTCAGTTCATGTTCCAAGATTCTGCCCACCTTACTGAAGAACCTCTTTGTTTTCCATACCAGTTCTCCAACTTGCCAAGTTAAGCCTGAGGAATGACATGGTCTCCCAAAGGTTCCTTTTGCTAGATAAACGTCAATGTAATACTTAATTAGGACAGACTATAGTGATTTAGATCTTGTGCTATCTTCATCACAATAAACATTAAAAATCACTCTCTGCTGCCATCTAGGCAAGTTAGTCATACCATATAGCAGTGAATTATTGTGTGGGGAAAATATATATTTGGTTTGTATTTTTTGAATCCTCTGCAATATTAAAGTTAAGAACATCAGTAGATTTTTGTGTCATAGTTTTGTTTCTGCAGTAAAAAATGATTCCTGAAACTATTACTTACTATGGTACTATATAAGTAAATAACATAAGTTACCTGCTTGGTCTTTAAATATTTTTGATATGACGACAGGCACTTTGTGCTCAGCACCACCCTGTAAGAGAGGCATATTAACCATGAGATCTCGAGACTGAAGTGGTCATACTGAAATTAAAAGAAGAAACGAGAAGTTACCCATACCTTTATGCTTAAGCCCAAGCCACCAACTGGTTGTCTACGAAGTGTAACAGTTCTGTGCTTTAAAAAATTGTAGAAAAAATAAATTTAGGTGAAAATACAATATCTGAATGATCATAGAAGATGTTCCTAGGTCCTCATTTATTTTTCAAAAATTAATTCTCAAAGGCAGCCTAGAATCTGAGTGATCAAGTTCAGTTCTGAAGTATCATTCAACACTGATTCGTAGGCATCACTTAATTCCTTACTACAGAGAGCAGAACTTGTGAGTTGCGTATGCAGACTTTTAGTAAGTTTTTCTATCCCTGAAGTGATATCCTGCCTGAACAGAAATTTTTACATACTTTTGCTTTGTTTTGACATTGGAAAACTGCACGAAGAGCTCTGAGATATGCATTTTCATAGCTATCATGTATGCATGTGTTCTAATTTTTTGATCAAAAATGCCAAAGTTTTCTAATCTATATCTCCAGATTTCTAGTGTTTTTTTTTTTTCTTTTGCAGCATATGCTGAAAAACTTTTAGTGATAGTCTGCTTCAAATAGCTGATTTTTTGCATTTCATATTTAACTGCACAAAGAAGATAAACATTTATCAATATTTTTCTAGAGAAACCTATCACATGTTTAACAGTATGCTTAATTTGAGATTTCAATAATGTGTAACTCATGGTGCCTGACAATATAATAATAGCACTTCATCTGTTGACAATAATTATACACTTGAAGGGAACTTTTTCTGGAACAAGCTGAACGGTACTGGATAGAATATCATCTTTCTAGTAATTTCTGAACACATAAGATAAAATATATTTTTTTATTTTTCTTTAAATCAGAAATTATACATAAATACTCCCATATGTATACTCTCTGATTGGGTACTTTATGATTTCACTGATTCAGATAAATGTAAATATTTATTGCAGCAGTCAAGACCATAATCATATATTAATAAGTTATTTTAATATATGTAGCTCTTTTCTTTTTTTTTTGTAACATTTACCTTGCTAGACGTATGTTCATATTGACTCAGGGGAAAGTGAAACACAATAAATCATAAATTTCAGTTTCATTTTAGGGGGGTAAAAGTAATCCATATAGTAAAAAGAGTTAGGAGTAGTTTCATACATTTTCAAAATTATTTCTCTTCCCATGAACACTGTACTACACTAGTCTGTGCTAAAAATGGAAAAAAAAGTGGAAAACTATTGCATTTTGACACGATACCTGACATATCAAAAGGTACCTGACATAATTTCAGATTATATAATTCAGTTTCATTAAAATCTAATTCAAATTGTTTATAGGTTCTTTTCTTCATTTGTAACTGCATCAAAACTTTTGATCTTCATTATATTACAATGCTTTGAGGTCAGATGAGCATAAATCTGGCAATGAACCATGCATTCCATTATGGAATAGCAGTAAGACCAATCCATAGGGATCTAAAGAGAAATAATTTTAAAGGGGAAAAGTGGTATGGAAAATACCTTTCAAATGACATGAATACTTGCTCTGAAATTTCCAATCTTGATGACAGAGTTGACTGTTGTAATAACTCTTATAAGGAAGTGATCTGATGCCCCACAAAAACTTGATTAAAAAAATAAAACTATTCAAAATAATACGGTGTATTTTAAGCACGTGTAAACTGGCCAGAGAGAAGATTCCAAATCAAAATTTAATTGAGATAAACCTACTACTTAGTAGAAATGCTTCTTGTAGGATAGTGACAATACCTGGATTATTATTTAAAAAAAAAAAAAGGTGATCTAAAAAAGTATATATATTTGTAAAGGACAACATTTATGATAAGGTAATTATGAACTGGATAGGTTCTAAGCATAAAGCAGTTCAAGGTGAAGGTCATTTAAGGTCATCCTGGTAATAAGCTCAAACAAATAGAGAAAAGCACTCTATCTGGCAAAATGTGGTCTTGCAAAAAACCCATGCTGAGTAAGAGAAAAACCCATATTCCCACACAAAGTCACTGAAAAAATAACTAGTGTAATTCTACATCATGAGGACATTATTAAAAGGCACATAGAGACTATAAATTATTTCAGTATCTGGCAGTGATGCACATCTTTAAATAAAACAGTTAGCTCTGATAATAATTTTGATGACGTAAAGAAATCAGAGAGGTAGCAGGTAAGAGCTACAGGAATGTCAAATAGCTTGAGAGATTTGTGTAGTACTGTAATAGATGCCAGGAGTCAAATATATTTAGCTTTATTTGAGAACGTTTCAGAGATGATCAAGCACAATTTTAAGGTATGTTTCTTGGCAGATGATCAAATCTTACAGACAGATACAGTAAAAAATGTCAATCACTTGAAGAGGAAAACAGACACATTAAGGCTATAAACACAAGACAAGATTTTAAACTTTTGCAGTATGACACACCATAACCCCATTTTTTAAAAAAACTTGCTTTTAATAGTAATGTAGCTGTAATGTATATTTTAATGTAATAGGATTGTACACCATAAGGCCTTGAGACCTTAGAGTATACAGATACTTCTATTTTTATTTACTTCTATTTAAATAATCTTTATTTAGAGTAGGACTGTGTTATCTCATGAATGCAAATTTAGTTTAGTTCTAAATGCAGTGTTACTAAAATGCTTAGGAAATTTTTAATGCTAGCAAGCAGTACAATATGTAGGGACATCCACATAAATGAAATTAGTTTTGCAGCCCAACACAAGTATCCTCGTTCTACAGAGGAAGAATGGAAGCACACAAAGATTTGGGGGTTATTAATTCTGTTTTAGTGATTTGAAATGCCTAAACATGCATTTTTAAAAGCATTTATATGAACTTTATCTGCTCAAAGTACCTTCTTGACCAGTTTCAGCCTCAGCTGTAAATGTTCAGCATTTTAACACATTGTAATTTTACTGCAGAAGATGAGATGCACCTAATGCCTGATGTGTTAATTTGGTGTTAGTTTATGTACATGACACATCTAAGACTATATTGCACCTGTTTCAGGGGAAGTTTCATTCACCACTAGATACTGGTTATATTTTTCTTCCCGTAACCCCTGAACTCATTCCCTGAGTATCTTCCAACACAGAAGACAACACAAAGCCAAGAGTTAAGAGATAATAGCCTGTTTATTTCTGGCTTTCTAGTCTTTGAATTTGAAATTTTATTTTAAAGAAGGAAATTAAAAACCATTTTTGGAGGAAAACCCACAAATTCACATGGCTCATTATAGCCTATTTCCACATAATTCTTCATTGGGACCCTTAAAATTCAGAATCGGATGCTCACTACAAAAAAAAAAAAATCTTTGGGTGATTTAGAGGAGATTCAGCATTAGATACCTGCTGAAAACAAGACAATACTGAATAATTATTCACTTTTATTTGATCTCTTCTCTCTGTTCCCTCTAATTTATCCTATTGTAGTCCCACATTCTCTTCTCAGGACCTTTCTTTGCTTTCTTTCTTCCTATCTGGCAATTCAGAATTCAGAAAGAAATTTTTCACCTCTTCTTCGAGTCAAAGAACAGACTATTTGTTTGACAACTCCAGTCTTGCAAGCCATGCCTAATGCTGAAATAAAGCAGGCTGGAGGATTTTCTCCAGAAAAGAACACAGTAAAACTCCTGTTCACACAAATAAATTTTCTTTCCTTGAAAACGTTATTACTACCATCCATACTGCCTCACTGGGACACTACATGACACACGCTATCTCCTGATTTGGTCTGAGGCATTGTTTGAGAGGGTTGTACCTGAAATTGTCCAAAACCAAGACAGAGAGTAAACTAACACCCAGTATAGACAATTTGGCACAAGTCAAAACATCACCAGGGACCACACTCACACACAGTATAGACAACTGTGGGCCAATGTTGAATGTGTGCTATGGTTGTGTTTTATTTTCTAGTAGAGATGAAGTCACATAGACCTGTCTATGATGGATCTCACCATAAATGAAAAAAAAGAAAGGAGGACACCAATATACATTAACTACATGAAATTATTTAAATTAGAGTGTTTCCACTTATCCCTATAAGTACCAGTAATGTCAGAAGCAGATGTCTGGCTGTACAAAGAATGTGTTAGTTGAGAAAAACTCAACATAAAGTTGCAAATCCCTTGAACACAAAAATCACCTTCAAAGGAATCTCTTTCCATCCTTTCTCATGGAAGAAATGAAGGCAGAGTTCACGGAAGATTAGATCTGAGTACTTTCCCCCAGAAGAAGAGGGGATATATATATCTGTCTCACTGAGAAGATTGAGAACATGCAACAGGTTGGTGATGTGGGAAATAATTCCATTAGTAGTTCTTGTAATGGATTATTTCAATGCACTGTCCTGATATGCAAATTCCCTTCTCAAAGCAGAAATCCCAGACATCTGTAACGGCGGTAGATGACCATCAAGCAAACAGATAGATTTATGACTCCAGGGAGGAGACTCCAAAGTGTTTGACTGAACAAGGTGTTATGATCTAGTTGTTAAAATTATAAGAGACGCCCCTACCTGAATTAAGGTGCAAATGAGACCAGATGCCAAAGTCAATAGTACAGATTTTATTTAACAGTAAATGTGAGACAGAGAGAGGAAAAAGAAGGGTCGGGAAAAAAGAGAGTGACAGAGAGAGATTAAATAGAAAATATATCTCGACTCTGTGGAACCTAGCAGCATCCCGTGGGTCCAGTTCTTCTGGTCTTCTCAGTGGTGAGGGTCCCGCAAAACATAGAGTCCAACGGATTAATACACATTCAGGAGATGCCCAGGCACCTCCCTTGGGGTGGAAGTTTTACAATCTCTTGCAATAGACTCTGGATTTGTTGCATCGCTGGGTCACATGAAGTCCTCTGGTGGTGAAAGACTTCAGGAATGAGTCTGAGGGGGTGCTTTGGGGGGTCTTTGATGGTTTATGACCCCTTCTCAGGTGCCTCTCATGTGAATGTCCCATCTGGAGCAGGGGGGTTTACTACTTCTTTTTTGTGTGGAGAGATTTTGCCATCACACACCCAAAACCCTTCTCCTTCTTGAGCCCAGCTAGGGCTGATTCTTAACACAGTTGTTGACTTT